AAAAAATACTCCTACCTTGCGCTGTGCTGCTTTACGTCTTTCATCTTCTTCACGCTCTCTCTCGCTACGAACTTTCTCCAATTCTGCGTTTGTTGTTTGCAGCGTTACATCCAGGCGTAAGCGTGCATCTTCGGCAAGTTGTAAGCTATCTTCCAGCTCGATGATTACTTCTTTTGCTTGCGCCAGTTCAGCTTCCAGTTGACGTTTCGAGCGATCCAATTCCAGTGCATTACGACCACTATCATCTTTCATTGTAACCTAAGTTCAAAAATATTGGAACAATGCCAGGAAGGCAAAACAAATATGATGATTTTTCGCGCCAAAGTATCGCTGAAATTTAAAATTACAGCAGAAAATTAAATTCATAAAAATTACTCATGATAATTTTCCATACCTAAGTTTCTTCGAAATTTAAAATTTCCACAGAAAACTAACTTTACAATATTATAAGACCGGAACAAACCCCCAGCGGATCCCCAGAATTTTAAGCTAACTCGGGAAAAAAATACCCGATACAACTGTTCCTATATCCATTTACCGCAGTTTCTTCACAACTTTGCACGGATCTACTGCTATACATAATTTACAAAAACGATTAGATGATAAAAAGAGCCTTCGTAAATAATCATAATTTGTATTATTAGGGAAAAAAATAATTCGTCTAAAAAACAGCTTACAGCATTGTCGAGTTCCAGTTGGAGTGTATTACGAATATTTTCCAGCTCCGCAACACGATTCGTAAGATTTTCAATATCTTTAGCAACCATCAGGGCATTTGATTCACGTCCACGAAGCTGAAAACCAGCACGAGCTATCAAACACCGATAATTTTATCAAATTTACTGTTGCAAAAGGAAGAAGGAGCGAGTAATAAGGAAGCGAAGTTGGGGGCTGGAGTTTCTTGTCCTATGAATTTTAAACACATTATACGCCAAGTTAAGCCGTTCAGACGTGTAGAAAAATCAATCAAGGTCTGCGCCAACCTCTTGTGCTAAATTGTCACGTTCGGTGCTCATTTTCACCAATTTCGCTTTTTCTTCCTCAAGCATTTGATCGAATTTCCGCTGCTTTTTTTCCATCTCTCGTAAATTTGTTCTCAGCTTATTCAGCTCGTTTAGCATATCTTCGTTCTGAAAATTAACAATATTTGAAAAATGAAACTGCTAACTCGGGAACAAGAAAAGATAGAAAATTGAAATTTTAAGGAGGATATTCCCCATCCACGTATAAGTTAACTAGCTCAAACTCATCCCCCAGGTATGCGTGGTTCCCATGTACGGAGCCCGTGGAAGTTTTTTGCAGATAAGGTGTCTAGTCAGGAACCTGAAAAGCCAGAGAGCTGGAATTTTAAGGGGATGTCCCTTATCCACGCAGGTCACAATGAGTTCAAACCCAGCCTTCGGATACGCGTGGTTCTCAAGTACGAGCCAGTGAAATTTTTTGGTGGGCAAGTTGCTGACACAAGAGCCAGGAAAGCTAGAAAGCTAAAATTTTAAAGGGGTGTTTCCTGACAGCCCTGACGACCAGTCTCAGTTCGTTTAGCTAGAAGCATTTACCGGAAAAACCTGTGTCGTTAGAGACAAAAATCTGCGGGGGCTATGCAAAAAACGCATCATCGCACGGACAGCCCGTGCGTCGGACACTTATGTACTACTGTTACACAGCACAAAACGCATAAAGAAATAGTGTTTCTGTTAATTTTTCCAGTAAACTGAAACTATATTTTTCGATGATAACATTTTTGAGGTGTTCATTATTTCCATCCACGCGAAAAAATAAATAAAAATTTCCTGAATTCCCCCCTTAACCCCTCCCTTTAACTCCCTAACTCCTCCCCTTTCCTCCCCCCCCCCCCCCCCCCCC